ATATATATAACAAGAAATAAATATATAAGCATACTTTTTTTTTAAACACACATTGAATGCATGCTTGATGAGACAACTTGGAGCTGTTTAATGAGTATCAGCTAGTCGTGCCTCACAAGCTAGAGTACTTATGTACTTAGATTCTTAGGCTATGTATGCTAAACAAAATACATTCCACCTAGATTTGGGATCTAATTTAGGAATTTGTATAATAGATAAAATGAGATCATGAATAAAAAAATAGTAAGGCATTTTTAATTGTTAAAGAAATATCACGATAAATGTAAATTTTTTTATGGAAACTACATATATCAACAAAAACAATATTATATTTCTATTAATTAGTCTCACGACATGTTGATTAAACTACTAAAATTTCACACTCTTCCACCTGTTGCATATCGCAGTCAAACCGCATCATGTCCACCTCATGCACATTCCAGCTCTACAGGGTATAACAGCCATGTCATATATTAAAAGTTATCCACAATTATGGATGCAAGAGTAAATGAAAAATAAAGCGAGACTCGTGTAGCTTTGATGAGGCAGGAATTAATGAATGAATCAATGAAATGGAGCTGAGGCTGCTGCCGTTGCTGCTGCTGCTGTTACGGCCAAGCTGTTAATTGGTTAGATGCAGCTGGCCAAGACAAAGTCAAAATTGTTGCCAAAGACAACGACAATTTGGCATTTGGCAATCCGTGACTGGTCCCAGTGATAGTTTCCATCACGAGCTGATGGTCCAGTCTACCTGTTCCACACTTTATGCGTCGCACTTTACCCAGCACAAGTGGGCCAATACTGCCAACTGCCAACTGCCAACTGCCAGCTGGCCATTTCAAGAATCAGTTTATGGTTATCACCGCGACTTGTCACCAAATGCTGCATATTGCAAACTCATACATTATACGAGTGTGTGCGTATGTGGGGAGGCTGTCATCCTTTGAATGGGCGTGGAAAACTTTAACTTTAAGTTTTATGTATCACTTGGCTGCTGGGATAAATTAAATGTGATCATAATTTAATTTATTGCAAATAATATACAGTGAAAAATTAATGTGTTTATTTATTGAATTTTATATGAATAAATTTAAAATTTATATAATTAATTCATTTTTTTATTGAAATATATATATGTGTATTGGAATTTTTTTTATTATAAAATAAATATTCTTAGTTTAATTTCCATG